TTGGTCAACCCTCACCGAATTACTATCATAATTTAAATTTACCGTCGGGACAATTCTGAGAACTGAATATAACAAACATTGGAATAGAATGCATTTTTCGATTAACATTTGCTACCAGAGAAATACCTAGACTTTCACATTTAGCAGGAAGTCATATATTGCAAGGAAAATACAAAAAGTTCCAGAATCGCAAAATCTGTTATGAAAGAAAGTGGCCTAGACCTCTCTGCTTCCACTCCTTATTCCATATCCCCTTCGCAAGTCCAGTAAGGGTGCAAATCTAAGAGCACAATAAAAATTTCACCAAATAATATTTCATGAAGAAACTGAATACTGTCTTATCGCCAGTGTCGGTGGTTTTCCATACCTAGGGTCCCAACTTACAAAACAAACAAACAAAACCATGCATGTTCGGCAGTTGGTAGCATATATTTAGTGCAACTATTAAAACTACAGAGACTAAAGTGCCTTCGATATTACCGTGATGGCATGCAAAATTCGATCATTCTATAACTGTTTATGAACTCCCATGATTCTAATTGACACACTGATTACGAACAGCGGTTTTTCTTATTCACGAATGGTAATTTTCAAATCATATTCAGTCAAAAATAAGAGTGAACAAAAAAAAAAAAAAAAAAAAAAAAAAAAAAACGCAACCCTGTTTCATTAACTTAAAGTTAGACAACTCGGTACTACTTTTAACTCGAAATCAAAAACTATATAACACTGCTCATCCAATCAAGCCTCCAACATCCGAGCTATTAAAAAATTCAAAATATGTCATTACACAGTCAGATGCATATATTCCAGTGGAAGTGGCTCTCTCCGTGAAAGTCCATATGCATTCCTAGTCTCTTCCCTTTCCAGAATTATACAGTTCTGATTCCCAATAAAATATAAACTATATTTTCAAAGATATACCACAGCATATGTTCAACCCATACAGCAAGCCAGAGCTATTACAGCTCATACCAAAAAGTGTAACATTAACACAACAGCATGTTTAGTGCTCCAAAAAAAACATAAAAACACGAAATATAAGAAATGCAGTTAAAAATATTAGCCAAAAGTGAGACAACAAAGCTCCCTCACTCCTCCTACCCGGTAAAACTTTAGAAGATGAGGAAGTGATACGATTTTTTGTAAACGAAAAACTTTACTCTCGTACCTAGTCGGGAATTTGCAACCATATTTTCCTTCTTATATCAAAAACCACTACGTCTAGCATAAAACAGTCCACAAAAGAAGAAACTCGATTTTTTCACGTAATTAATGTTTTGAACAGAAAATAACCCAGCCTTTTTTTCTCCAACTTAAGAAAAAAAAAAAAAATAATAAACAAACACACACAAAAACACAGCTCACTTTTAAAAACACCAAAAATTTAGGAGTGAACGGAAATGAAGCAGCCCAAAACGTGGTTGATTCAAATGAAATTAATGCCACATAATCCTCGTTTTATTCTTTCGTTTTCAACCGAATCAATTATGAAATATGCTCGCGTTGCGATGTTCTCTTTGCAAATGACTTTTAAACAGCGCCCATCAAAATCAAAGGGGCACTAATCAAAGGAAACTTGAAACAAAAAAAGTGATACAGAAATACTTCCCGCTTGTAATGGTTAAACAAAACAATCATCAAAAAGACAATGACAAAAACTCAACCGATTAAGTAGAAAAAACTGATTAAACTGCAAAGATAAAGAAGCGACTTCTTCACTCTTCGGAATACGACAATTTGCTTTTAGAAAATGCAGAACTGAGGCAGAACATCTTCCCAAATTCATCTTTTCCTAGATACTTTTGTAAAGCGGGAAATATTTCTTGATTTAAATCGATGAGAAGGGAAACAAATAGTTGTGTGCACACAACAACCCATTCCATTTTTGTAACCAATTTTATGACACCCGCCCATTTTCCTAATAATATGTAGAAGAGAAAAAACAGAGAGAAAACCATAGAAACATTATTTTAGCAGACCGAACAGTATGCATCCGCACGCACCGTTTCCAGCTCAAAAAACAACGGCCTACTTACTTGCATGCAATCTTTTGCCGAGTAGTAGTAACAATTGCGCAAGCGCTTTTCGATAGTGTTCATATCCATTGGACGCTTGATCACCTTATGATAATCCTTAAAAAATCCAGAGTTATCGTTAGTCCTTAGCGTGTCAAAGATTTGGATCCACCCAGCTCATAGTTTGAAAAGAAGCCATGAGAAAATGAATTAGCTCAAAAATTTACTCACACTGAAAAAAATAACGTACCGGTAATCCCAGACGTACAGCATCTACAGGTTTCATAAATGGCCAGGCGTGTTTATGACGCATCGCTGGTTTTAAAACTTCCTTCAACATGAATTCAAGTTGATTCGTATGCCGTGTAGGTTTACCTGGCGGTGGTATTACACGCGGCTGTACCACCCCATTAATTGCTTCCTAGAACATTTTGGGAATACTTAACAATTAAGTAAAACTAACATGATTCAAATGATGCATGCAAAACTAATCAACCGTATCACCGTTTAATTAAATCGCGTGTGTGCAAGACAAGCACATTAAGTTAAATGATGAACCTGCCGTGGCGACTCCCAGCCATTTATTGATGGCACAGCTGTACCAACATCGGTAGCACTGTCGTCATTATCTCCATCATCAACATGCTGTTCTGAAGAGGCATCTTCTCCATTTTGCGATCCCTCAATTTGAATGTTTTCCGTGTCTACTGACGCTTTCTCATCCGATACAGATGGGTTTTCTGAGACCCCAAGGGTGCTGCCGCTAGTTGTTACTGGCTCATTACTGCTATTGTTCGCATTTGAAGTTGAAGCAGCAGAAAGAGACATTTCTGAAAGTTTCGAAAGTTAAAATGAAATCAACACAACAACATCGTTTATAGCGAAAAAAATAAAAGTGCACAAATCGAAACCCACCCATCCCACCTATTTTCTGATTCCAGATCTCCTGTTTTCAATGATGACCAAACAAACCTATGAAGTTTTTGTGCCCTAAAGTATTACCAACACGCGTAAGTCTTCTGCAAAAGTCTTCTGCAAGTAATGCGTTACACCACGACCTCACACCGAGCTAAACTTATTACTAATATTCTACTCACCACATTCAAGATGACATAAATGCACGAAAACCACACTGGGATTTGATTTTCAGTAAAACGCACTACAGCCACCACACGATGCTTCACGTTACGAAGAGTGGGTTACAGGACTTTTTTCCTCCGCAATCCCGAAGTTCAAGCATGTTATTGAAGAACCATGATATGATTTTACGCATACAGCAAACGAGAAAAAAAAATGGTGGTGGAGAGATTTCGCACATGATTCCCAAAAAAGTCAGTCCGAAACATGCACGTCACGTGAAACGTGCAACAAATTCTACGCACGCATTATCTTCCCAGCAAAATTATGTTATATCGATCGACCTGCAATGCTACCCACACGTCAACGCGGACGCGCACGCAGCATTCATCTCTTTCGCTTTCGCGACGCATTTGCCTGCAGTACATAAGAGTACGCCAAAAAGGTGCATGGGCAGACTAACAGAGAACAAACAAAATAATGAACAACAGAGATGCACAGAAAGAGTCAATCTTTGTTACACTGCTAGCGCACTACGCATGCACTCTACTTTAGGCGAAATGGCGCGTCTGTTGCAAACAACACAAGCGGGCGACCGATCGATCGATATCTGGCAGTTTTGGGGACCGTCTCGTAAAATAATATGCTAATAAAATAGACACAAAGGAGGAACAGTTTCACTTATCATTATGCTTCATAAATTTTTATTTTCAGTAAAAAAAAAAGCGTACAAATGCAACAAAAATAATGTCAGTTGTTAGTTTGTGATAAATTTTATTATAATATAATTTAACATATATTAGCCAAATAGGAATCAACAATCACATCAGTATAAGACATAACGTATAATTCACGTAAATGATCAACATAAACCACGTCAAAATTGTATCACATTCGTGATGAACCTTACGCAAAAATGCGTGAATGACAAATGAAAAGATAAGTGCGCACAGAGCACAGAGCAGCCGACCTAACCAAGCGACCAAACTGACAATGACTAACCCAACCGCCCAGCTCGTCAACCTCATATCACTCTAATCTGATTGGCTGTTGCCATAACAACTGAACAATACTCAGTTTTGTTATAAGCAAAAGTAGCAACAGACTACTGTATTGCGCTTCTTTCTTTTTTGATTTATATGAAATGTTTTTGTTTGGGCGGGCAATAACAGTAATGGTACCGCGGTAAAGCGGGGTAAACAGTTCTAATTGTTGGTATTTCCGGCAGCATATCTTATACAATGATGTTTCATTTGTGAAATTTAAAGAATAGAAAAGACATTAACTTGAACTGAGCTATAATATTTCCATTTTGATTTTAGCTGTCTCCTACTCTTTTCTGCTTTCAGAATTTGATTTTAGCTGTCTCCTACTCTTTTCTGCTTTCAGAATATGATTTTAGCTCAATTGATTCCACGATATCTCAAAAGTATATTACCTTTTAACAGTAAGAAAAGATAAGATTTCTTTCAATCAACAAACGATCATTTCTTCCAGTAATACTTGTCTAAATTGCTATTCTTATTTTCCGATATCTTCAGTAATGCTATATATTCCTTCTTTTCTTCCTTTTTTTTACAGTAACCCGCGACCATTCGTATCATTTGATGCACGCTCTTATTAGGAGACAGAAGGATGAAGTATTTTTCATAATGGTTTATCATAGTACTTTCGAGGCCGCATAAAACAAAGACGTGCGTTCTAGGTCGGGGTAAGAGACACAGGGTTGAATTGGTGATTTAAACTTTCATTTTCCATTTCATCTCAGGCCTATTTTTGGTTATTATCTTTTGGTATTTCAAATTTGTTGGTATTTCATGGCTATTTTGAAGTTATATCTAATTTTGAAATTTGTGAGCTATTTTTGTTTTGTTCGAAATAGTAATAATATTGTTTTCGAAAAAGATGGCGACCGTAGACAATGTACTAGTACGTGATGTGCTGAAAATGGAGCGAATCGGGGCACATTCTCATATTCGTGGCCTTGGATTATCTCCAAATTTGGAACCGGAACGAGTTTCTGAGGGTATGGTCGGTCAGATGGAAGCACGACGGGCTGCTGGGATTGTTGTGAAAATGATTCAGGTATTTAGTTTTTTTTTTTAACCTATAATCTCTTTCTCGAACAGAATAGCTTCTTGAGCAGATTAATAACCGATCTGTTGGAGACTTATTTCTGTCTCGTGGGATTAATTGGCTACATAATATGTCTTCAAACTTCAGACCAAGTGATGTTCGTTTAGCATATGTCAAAACTTTTATATTGTTAGCTATGCTCTGTTTCAGGATGGGAAAATCTCAGGTCGAGCGGTGTTATTAACAGGTGAACCTGGTACTGGAAAAACAGCCATTGCAATGGGTTTGTCACAAGCCCTTGGTGAAGACACGCCATTTGTATCGATAACTGCTTCCGAAGTATTCTCGATGGAAATGAGCAAGACTGAGGCATTAATGCAAGCTTTTCGAAAGGCTATAGGTGTGCGAATCAAGGAAGAAACTGAGGTATTTTGTTATTGAAAACATAATTACTCTGTCACTGCTTTAATTCTTGTGTTTTTTCTGCTTCCTTATGCTTTACATATTAAGATTATAGTCTAAATAATCTTTAGTCATACCGAATTCTGTTAACAGTGTGAAACAGTTTCATCAGTATTCGTTTTTGCTAGCCCAATTTTTGTTTTAGGTATTGGAAGGTGAAGTGGTAAGCATTGAAATTGATCGACCAGCAACTGGTGGTGGTGCAAAAGTGGGCAGGCTTACAATGAAGACAACCGATATGGAGACAATTTACGATCTTGGCAACAAAATGATTGAAGCATGTATAAAACAGAAAGTCGCGGCTGGCGATGTAGTGCAAATTGATAAAGCTTCAGGTTTTCTTTATTCTGCTTATGTAAATGTTTGAATGTTATGTTAGCTAAAGCTGAACGAGAAGGGTAACCATGAAAATTTTGTGGATGTACTTTTTGGATGTTGCAAATTTTATAGAATATGTACTAGTGCGTCTAATAAAATTAAACGTATATGTTTTATGAGGTTGATTAAGTGTTGACTAACTAAAATTTGTTGAAGGTCGTATAACAAAGATTGGTAGATCATTTTCACGCACTTATGACTACGATGCTTTGGGTCCGCAAACGAAATCTGTACGGTGTCCTGAAGGTGAAATCCAAAAACGCAAAGAAACTGTTCATACAGTAAGTTCGCAATTATTAATCTTTGTTATATATTAATGCAAAAATATCTGTAAATAGTTTTGTTTATCCGCATAAAGTTGTTGCAATTACAGTTCATTTTGGAATTTCGTTCGTTAAAGTCTTGATATTTCTTGAGTGGTGATGCCCAGAATGCTGTATACTTTTCCATACATTACTAATTTTTGGAAGATTTTGGTTAATTGATATATGTGACTTGATTCCGGTTTTGCACATTTTTCATTTATAAATGGAAATTTATTTTAGGAAGTAGAAAGATAAATTTGTTCATTTTCAGATTGCATTACACGAAATTGATGTAATAAATTCACGAACGCAGGGGTTCTTGGCCTTATTTTCAGGGGACACTGGCGAAATAAAAAATGAAGTGAGAGAACAAATTAACAAGAAGGTAGGAAAATTGAATCTCGAGATATCAATATCACAGTTTATTTTCTTTCAAATTGCCAACGCTGTTTACTGAGAAATTTTGGAATTTTAATATCTATTTCTTCATTTGGTTTTTCGAGACTTGTATTTCGTTATTGCAGTAACTTAGTTGTGCATGTGATTACCTTTAGAATCAGTCATGTTTCAGGTAGTCGAATGGCGGGAGGAAAATAAAGCAGATGTTATTCCTGGTGTTTTGTTTATTGATGAAGCACACATGCTAGATTTGGAATGCTTTTCATTCTTGAACAGGGCCATTGAATCCGATCTTTCTCCCATTCTTGTAATAGCAACCAATAAAGGACATGAATATATTCGTGGAACACAAATCAAAAGTCCTCATGGAATTCCAATTGATCTTTTAGATAGGTAGTTTACAATTCATTCCATGAGATTTTCCATTGATTTCATTTGAACTTCATCTCGTGTTATCAGAAGTAAAATGAAGACGCAAGTATTAGAATTTTATTGCAATTTTAGATCATTAATAATCCGAACAAAACCGTATTCGAGCAAGGATATTGAAGATATTTTGCGCATCCGTGCACAAGAAGAATCTGTGGAAATGGAAGCAGATGCGTTTGGCATATTAACCTTACTGGCTGGTAAAACCTCGTTGCGATATGCTATGCAACTGATTTCAACTGGGAATATTTTACGTGAACGAAGACGTGGTGAAAAGGTGTCCTTATCTAATACAATATCTTTAATATTTCAGAATTGAGTTCACATGGTTAGAATCTCATGTCTATGTAACTTACAAGTTTAAAGTGTACCACATGAAATATGCAATTTGGTTTTTGAACTTATGGAAACTACTTCCAGGTGTCACCGGCAGATCTCAAACGAGCTTATTCTTTATTTATGGATCATAAAAGGAGCGAAAAGTTCTTGAACGATTATCAGAAACACTTCATCAACGACTAAGTTTCTGCTCAATTGTTGAGAATCTCGTCGATCATTTCTGTTACGCAAATAAGTGTGACTTTGCATTATTCGGGTCTGTTCTGTAGCAACCTTCGCAATTGTCTCAAAAAAAAGGAACAATCTGTCAATTCATTTTGTCCACTTTATTTTCTCATGATGTCCTAAATAATTGTTTTGTCCATAAATTGGTATCCTTTTCCATCAATCGCTCAGAATCTTGGTAATCATACTATCCACAATAGCGTGATCAAAGGAACACGGGATGTGGTTTAGAAATCTTCATCAGTGCTGTTGCTCAGTTTGAGCTGCGGACGTTTTCTTTGATTCAATGGGAAAAATTACAACTTAGCTACTTCACTTTGTACTCATTGCGCTGTACAAAATAGCAAAGGCAACTGAATCAATCCGCAAAAAAAAAAATGAAATTAGTTCTGCTTGATGTTACAATCTGTGGTATACATCCTTTTTTTTTGCAATACATCAATTACTCTTAAACAGACAACATATACAAGTTAGAAAAAAGTACATGCCGTGTTTAAGACGATAACAACCGAATTGCTCTTCACCAAAAATTTATCCGCTGAATAAGGAAATCCTACACAACCAAGACGTTGTCGGACTGCATCCAATAGATTCAAATCTTTTAAAAGTTTCGGAAATCTTTTACACCTATGGAGAAACAGCAAAGAGTGATTGCAAGCTGGAAAAACTAAACACCGTCTCAGCTTCAACTTTTTTTGTTTTCACGACAGGGGATGGAGAAGTAAACGAAAAGGGACTTCGCAATTTGCGATTATAATTGGTCCTCCTCAAGTTTACTTTGGGAAATGTATAAAAAATAACGGTTTGTGAATACAACTACTGTGTCTCTAAACACGGCAGATTTTGTACACTGGACAATAGAATGAAGAAGCACCCGCCTGAGTGAGCAAGCAAAGATAATCCGTGACAACAGTGTACACATAAGTTGAAACTCAAATAAGTGAACCAATGAGATCAATGAAAAAACAAACATTAGTAAGCAAGAAACATCATACTAAGATCAATAAAAACTTATCCTTGTTAGTGCTTCCTTATGTTTAAGCGAGCTAAGAATGGATTTTTGACATGCAAATAATCGTATGTTCAGAATCTGTAGCTAAAACAAAGTCCTCCCTCCTTCACACTTTTAAGGTAAGCTAAATCAACATAAATCTCACAAGTAATACGTCTTAATTACAAATCTTCATTGATCGGAGCGTCCGGCAACATTTCATCTAACTGTTTGGTTATAAGATCTATTAGTGCTTTCCTTCGAAATCGCCTAGCTTCACGCAATGCATAACGTAAGCATATCCTACGATCCACAATACAAAGATCTTCCATTTCGGTGCTTTGCAATGACATCACTTTTTCCGCTGAAAAAAAAAAAAATAACCGTGTTTGAAATATTACGACTGAAAAGAACGCAATATTTCTACGATACCTATATTTAACCATAACATGGTTTAACAATCTATCCCAAGTGAAGGCTCTTTCAAACTTCGACTGTTGACGGGAAATAATGAGAAATCTAACGATGAAGTTCTCTTTGTAAAGATGGTCTCCAACCTGAACCGGTGGAACGTGAATGGACTTCAATAGTTAATTCAATTTTCTAACTTGGATGAAGTTACTAACTGTGTTAGAATTTCGCATAATAGTGATTATGAAGTAAATATTATATGCGATAAGGAAAAACAGCTGGAACAAAACAAATAATGAGATGTTAAAATTATGCGAACAATACCGTTTGCAAGCTTTCTAACAAATTTGCCCAAAAGCAATTTTTTCTCATTCAGTGCCGACTCTTCTAAGCGTGATGCACCATCTAAACGTGATTTTTTCTCCACTGGTGAAAATTCAGACCATTCAGATCTTTTCAGTAATTTTTCATGTACATCACCATTCAATGTATGCTCAAGATTACCATTTAAAGCTGATGTAGACTGTCTACAACCTGAACCAGTAACTTTTTCTGAAAATATTTGAGTAAACAGATGTTGAAAACATACTTATCTCCCATAAATCTACAAGTCTAGCAAACCGTGGAAAGGGAACAAATTTCTCCAACGATTAATTAATTTAATTTTCCAACTGGGATGAAGTTGCTAACTATGCTAGAATTTCGATAATCGTGACTACGAAATAATACATGCAATAAAACAAGGAAAAACACAAGCTGGAGAAAAACAAAGCTAAACAACCACATTATCAATTTAAAGATGTGGTGATGTGGAAAAGAGATGAAAAAATGATGCAGCAAACCCACGAGTATCTTCGGAAGAGAGATCAGAACTGAGAGAAGCTAAGTCGAGATCGGATAAAGCTGATGAACTTGAGGATGTACTATGTCTCCGTCGTCGCCTATAATTGAAAAATAATGTCGCATTCTTACACCGTTTCAGAAAAAATAAAGCAACAGATTTCCTCAGCACACTGAATAATTTAGGAAATTTTCATAACGTTTTGCAGAAATTAAAACACACAAAAAGCTTAAATATAATAAGGCGTTTACCGCCATCGAGACAAGGAATCGGCTGCTAAGGGCCCCGCTTTTCGTCGTGGCGGGCGACTGCTATCTGAACTTGAAACATTTGAACCAGTCGAAGACAACCGTTTTTTTGAAGTTTCCATTTTTGGAGAAGTTCCCAGTAAGTTTCCTTCACCAACTTCATCCACCGTCATAGTTTTCTGCAACATAAAACATTCACTAAAAAATCTAATTTGTTAAGTATTGTAAACACATATCATTCAACACTGAAATGCATATTTTATGGGAATTTCACATGGCTTTTTTTTTTTAAAAAATTTTTCAAAAGAACGCACCTTATCAATTTTAAAAGGGTTCCCGAACGCATGTACACGGATTGCTTGAGGCTCAACTTCTCTAAGTGGACCACGTCCTACAGCCTCAAGACTCTTGATATACTCCTGATAATTACCCATCTGACCAATGGGAAGATTATGCAAATCCTCTGCAAATAAAAGTAAATACAACACGAAATATTTCAGGTTGAAAATGAGAAATATTAGAAACAACAAAACAAACCCGCATGTTGCAATTTTATACTAGTGCCAGGTCGACCACCTTCAAATATTGGTATCTGCCCTACATTGAGCTGTTGCATTAAATTGATTCGCATTTTCTGCACTTGCTCGAAAAGTTTACCCCGTCTAATTTCAAATGGATTTCGAAATTGTAACGATGGAGCAATCAATATTTTGGGGATCTCAACTTGTACCTATAATAAGCTGCATGGTTGACCGATACACTCATCTGGTCTTCACAGTAATGATCATAACTGATCTTCATGCCTACTATGATTACGGTGACAAAACCCAGTAAACAAAAAGGCCTCAAGATGAAAAACAACACGCACACACCAACAAAAAGTTAAAAAAAAGAACCTGGAATCCATGAAAATTTTCCATATCACTACTATATCCAGAGATCCTTTTCATGCCTCTACCATCGCAGAGACGTGTACGCTTCTGAACGCCAATCTAAAATCAGAGCATGAACGATTGTTCCGATAGAGTAATTGGCTTTATACATTTTTATAATTATATTTAAAACAAACCAATGATACAAGAGGAGGCGAAATTTGTAGCGATGCTGCCACGGTACTACATAGCGATTCAAATTCTTCACGAGCCATATGCTTCACTTTCGCAATATAAGACAATATATTATACGAATACTGCTGCATTTGGTCAGGTTCCAACATGGGATGTGAGATACTTAATCGAGTGAATGCCTTTTTTAGTGGCTAAAGCAAAATTTCAATTTTAAAATCATAGAAAAAACAAATATAGAAATACTCTCCCCAAGTTCATTTAAATTATAAAGCCTTTGGAAATACTAAAATCCTAACTCAAGCCCACACACAATCATGCAGTACTTTCTCATTTCCTCGAAAATAACCAAAGAATTACAGTTTTGATACACATATATAAATAATACTATAATAAGCCTAAATAGAGAGTTCAACTTAACCCTATTATTATCCTATATCTTCCCGACCATTGAACCATATGAAAACAGTCACTGGTTGTAAAACACTATGAAAGAGTGATAATTCTGGCCACAAAAATAATATTTACTTGTACATAGTAACTTGGAACTGTGGCCAAATATTTTTCCAAACGCAATCGCCAGGAATGGCTATTTTTGGCTTTCGAGTCCATCTTCATTTCCTCAATTAGCGGAAGCAGCAGCGGATAATTGTAAGGCATTATAAATAAATTTACACATGATAAATTGGTGGCCGCTTTGAGGTATCCGAAAGGAGCCGGTGAACTCCCGAGTACACTTGAATTATGGACAAAAACCTGAAATTTTCATTATTTTTAGCAAAAAACAAATTCAATGGCCACGGTTTGTTATGATATGAGACAAGGTGTATACGAAATTTCTAAAACAAATTCCCTTTGCTAATAACTAAATGAGCTAGCTTTAATTACTTACTCGTTAAGCCCCATTGGTTTTAATACCTCGTCTTGAAGTAACTAAGATGCCCACCTTCTGAACTCAGTGAGACTCATAAAATATATTCCGTACAAACAATGAGGATGGTTAAAGAAGCCGACGAAACTTTCGAGTTTCAGGCCTAAAAAAGTCATAATCTTGTCAAAAGAACATCACAACAATTGAAAAAAAAAAAAAAAAAAGGAAATTATACCTGCCAACAGACTCCAGGTTGTTTACGCTCTAATATAAACCTTGTTAAAGGTGAAGGCTCAAGCTCATATTTATCAAATGGGAAATCCTGACAAACAAGAGGTTCACTAGATTCACAACGAAATGAGATCACTGGATGAGCTTTTCGTGGCGGCAAACTTATCCTGCAACTGAATGTATAAGAAAAAAGAAAAGACTAAATTAGTCAGTGCTGAAGAATGAATAGAACATCGTGAAAATTTCTCCCAAAGCAAGAATATGCAATAAAATATTGAGCAATGTCTTAAAGTTGTAAATCAAAAAAAAAAAAAAAAAATACATGCTGCGATCGGGCCAAAACGCCTCTGGAATGGGCCAGTGCCCCGGATATGATCGTGATGCACGTGAATAGACGGTGCAAGTAACATTATGCCAGTTATCTGAATTAAATGGTTTACCACCAACCGACGCCAATTCACCATTTTTTTTTGGATTTCCGTTTTCAACAACGCCATTTGTTCGGTCTAAAAAAAAAGACCATTTAATTTCCAGAATGAGACCCAAACGAATTTATAAAGCCTTATTTTTTAATTCAGAAGTTGATATTCAAAAAAAAAAAAAAATCGCCGAAAATTTCAAAAAATACCGAGACTTAATGTGGGATCTGGTCCATATTTTTCGAAGCGTAAGACGATTCCCTGTTGTTGCAGTTTTTGAACAATCGATTCAACACACACAGCTAGCATTTTATGCGATGATATGCAATATGACCGCCCTGAAATTATTCCGAAATATTACTACTGTTTAAAAAATCCCATTAATGTACATACAAGTGCGGAAAATAATCCATATGAAGACGAAAAATAAAACAAGAAACTTTTAAACCAAATTTTAAGCAAGCACTGAGAACTGACAAGAAAAATAAAAAGGTCTTTTTTCTCACAAAGGAATCTCAATAACTATGACCACTTACCTCCAGTTGCAATACACATCGCATCAATAGGACTATTATCGGAAGGTATATTCATTCCAGGAGAGATTTTTCCCACAGGATTATTACCACTGAGACGTAGAACTATTGAATAAAGGCGTTGGTCCCATCTAAACGGCTCTTCAATCAGTTCGTTACCAATTGCTGTAGGCTTAGCAACTTTAATCTGGAACGAAAGGACCAATTATCATCATTAATATACAAACTTCACATAATGAAGTTTTCCTGCATTTTCAGGCCATATTTGTAAAATCAATTATTCGCTATAAGAAAAACTTTCGTACATTAGAAACTTTCGCATCATCTGTAAGTAATATACTACTTCTTATTAAATAATCAATACAGCTACTGCATTTATTTAAAAAAAAAACTTGCCATCTTAGTCATCCTACACTATCATCTCAGCACAAACTTAAATAAATCCACTAAACGAAGATTTACCTCATTAACAGCTCCAAACTGGGGACATGTCAAACAGTTACCATCAGTTATACTAATTATAACAACTGGTTCAATATAGAATGGATAACGACCAGCACCAAAATTATCAATGCCAGTTTGCAGTCGATTTACATTTACAAATCTTGAACAAAATTAAAAACAATGCACTGATAATTCCCAGTCACATGCTTTGACATCATAATTTATTCCATTTTTGATGCTTATACTAAAGAGCTGATAATAACCAATTAAAACATTCATGTTTTTATAGTATAACATAGTAACCCCTAACTTATGGATGCTCAAACAAACAAAGATGTTGGTCAATGAAAATCTGTATTACTATATGTCAAATACCTCAATGCTGAGCCTAAAGCAGTACCAAATGATGTTAAACCATGTGGCTTCAGCATTTTCAATTGCTCTTGGAAGATACTCTGGCTTTCTCGCCATCCCGCCTGAAATAAAAATTCATTAGTGCACATGTAACTACTTGCGACAATTTTTCAGTAAGTTTTTCCTTCTCCGTAATTTATATGGCGAATTCTGCTAGGTTATCCATAACTTAGTGATGATTACGAATTACGGCGCTTTTCCAACATACCGTATTTAGCACATCACGTCAAGTACTAATTCTAGACAAATAACTTCTAGTTGGAATATAATGAAAATATAAAATTCGAAAACGAAAAATCTCGACTAATAGCATCTAAGAATTTTGGATGTAATTCATTTATTTTAAAATTTTAAATCATTGATTTCTTATTCCCTTTCGCCTTTTGCACTTTTGGAAATCAGTTTCTTGTTACATATCTACCGCATCCATAGTTATAGTATAGTACAACACAATTACAACAGAGTTAAACAGAACAATCGCTATTTCTAAAAAAGCACCGATTCTTCTCAGGTTATTCGCATGCCTGCCAGGTCTAACGACTTTGATTAGTGTATTTCTAATCAACTGGAACTACATATAACAAAAAGTAGGATAGTTCGTTCATCCATTTTAAAATTCGAAACTCTTAACCCTTCCTTTTCAATGAAGAAATTACAGAGGAATATAACTTTCCCAACAGCATCCACAAAACTATCATTGCCGACATACTACACCCTCCCAATATTTTCAGTAAGACCGTAAACTGAATTCTCATTTCCTTTCAACTCTACCCAATCAATGGAGCAAATATACTCCAGTAATTTCAGTACGTCACAGTAACTCTCTAACGATCATCCAGAAGTTAAAGGGGTCATTTTTTTTAGCAAATGAAGATACGCTTGTTAGATTCCAGCAATGGATCCTTTGCAACCGTTCTTATTCGCTGAATAAACATATTTCATCATAGAATATGTGATTTGCGAAGCAACTGTATGCATTTCACCAATACGCTGCTGGCCGCAGCATTAGGGTTAGCATAGGCACAATCATCACCAACACTTTGTTCTTCTCATCCTGAATACTCTCCCGTTTATTTCATTCTAACTCAACTCTATTTTCAAACCACGAAATCCCACCAATTCTTTAACCAGTGTGGCTCTTCTTTCCCTTCCCTATACGTTTCACACCTACCCTCCCTAATTTTGTTCACTCTCTCTATCGCAAATGACAACATTTCTCTTCCCCTAATCGTGGGAACAGGAGAAGCGCCCCGACGACTACTTTGCACTTTACCGTTCCTCCTTAACCGAATCAACCAAACCCAAAGACATCAGCAAGGATGGGTATACACAACCCCACAACATTATATTTGAACTTTATTATGTTTCGAAAATTTGCTTATTTTAGAAATTTCCTTTAAATTTAAGTTCGATTAAGTCTTGTTCGGAATCTCGGCTGCAGTGACTAGACTACCTCCATGCACTGTATAGTCGTAGCTAGTCATGTACATTCAGTTTCACGACAATATAGAACATTACCCCTTATGCGAAATTCAACGATCGTTCCATATGCCTAATGGTAAGAAATACTTCTCATCCCGAAGTAGATAGCTTTCCAATGAACTCTTCAGATGAGTTCAGAAGTGTTAAGCACACTGCGTCAAAACCTCTAATGATAGCGGCAGTAGTTCAGGCCTACTTCATCCACAGTTTTATTTTTATGATCAGCTTTCGAAATATGAAAATTTCAACTTTTGTGCGACTGTCTTTTCTTTTTTTTACTTTTTTCATTTTAAATGCAGGAATTGTGCGCCATTCTTGATGATGTCTTTTGGCGCTTCTCCTTCCTTTTTCTCCCTCTCTCCACAGTTTCCTGAAAACTTTTTTCTCCCGCACTCTCATCTCCAATCCAGAAAGATGCTGTTGCCATTTATAGATTGACATCTCCAATACTGTTAGCTCAGCTTTTACGAACCTTTACATTCATAGGAAAATCTTCGAACGACATCAGCATATATCGATCACCACGCGCACTTGCATCACGTACCCGTTGCTGCAATTTTCTATTTTAAACACTGTTCTCTTTACTTTAAAAAATAGAGATAACAAACACGCAAAAAAATGTTACAAACTATCAATATTGTATGGGAAAGTAAAATTGAAACAAATGTAACTTTTTACTTCTAAAAACAGCTCAAAACAAAATTTGAAACTTTGTAAGCAGTAAAAAAAATGGTTGCATTTCTCCTGAAATCCATCATTCCAAATAGCGACACTCTGAATCACAACTGTGAGAAAGGATGAGTAAACAGCAGGCATGGAATTACCTTGAGGATCAATTCAACAATAGACCGAGCTACATCCAGCATCGCGGTGCCCTGATACGTTTTTTGAGCCATCGAGGCACTGGAATCGATGAGGAAAACGACAATTGTCATTCTTCCACACTTCACATCCCCACAGAACCACCGTTCGAATCCTTCGCTTCGTCCTCGTCCGTTCTCTTCCTCCTCCTCCTAATTAGCTGTCAGCTGAATCACTCTTATTACCACTGTATCCTTTTTCCACAACCACATCAAAAAAGCAGTACTACATTTTTATTCGAACTAATTCTTCATCTCTACCAACCCCTCTCTCTCTCTCACTCTTTATGAAGTAATCGAGTAGTAGCGAAATCATGAGTTTCAAACCATACAGCAATAAGAAATGAAATTTGCTTATCGGTAATTATGTTTTCAAAACGATGGAAAAGGAAATAAAATGCGAGAATCAATAACTCACAATACCAACAAAACCCTTCACTCTATCCCTATAACACACGCCACCCTAACCACACCACCACGTCACGTACGCCCCCCACACGTCCACTAACAAACACACCAACTTCTCCCCAACCAATTACAACGAACTGAATCGAAACATTCCTTCACCTCCCCTTATATATTCTACCTTATTACCTCTCACATCCCCACACTCTAACCTTTTTCCACATTCTCTAATTTTCAACTACAATTCCTGCCAGGTTTAGACACAAATTGCCAAAGTGACAGTATTGTAGAATATTGTGAATAATAGCTAGTAATAGAGAAGGAGAAGAGGAGAGAAAAGCCAACTGCGAAAGAAAGAAAGATAGGGAGAGATAGCAGGTAGTGAATATTTTATGGACAAGTATTATATATGGGACAGTTTTTGATACAAATTCTTTTGCTTTCTAACCTTTCTTGCCGTCTTCTCTCTCTCCCATTCACTCACTCTCTCCAATAAAACGTGTCAATTGCTTGTGAAGCAGACGAAAAAACAAGAAGAAAATAGTGCAAGGACGAAAAAAAGTTAAAAACTTGCAAAAATTACTCGTCGATTTTTTCGGCGATTTTGATTCGAACCCAAGCTTCCTACTATTGCAGCTCCATATCATTAACTAATTGCCAATGGCGGTGTTGTGCCTGTGTGTATATGCGCCCATTGTGCCGCCCTCCAGCTTTCTGGTCTGTTCAAGTCAATCGTTTCGTCAAATTATTTATGTGGGTGGGGCAAGTCTTGACGGGCAGGTAATGGGCAAGTCACGCCCATCATTCACATTTATATGAATTGCCCTATATCACTATTGAAATTGACGCTTTACGTGACGTTTGCGCTGTTGCCATGCGAAATTAGCGTGGAGAATTGACGTGTTGTGCACAATGTAACATTAACATTTGATTTCAACTTTGTTTCGTAGTGCATTTTGCATTTCCTTTCTTGAATACCATTTAAAGTATATGAAGTACAAGATTGCGTAAGTTTTATAGCGCATTCCAAATAAAGCAGATAGAAAAATTCTGAGAAAATAAGTAATTTTATAGCATTTTACTCGATCTCTGGACCTGTGAATGTATGCATATCTAATTGAGATAACTAAAATGACTAGAGTTCCAAAAAAAAAGAAAAAAAAATATTGCTAGGGATTATTCTTTGTTGTTTTTGCATTTAGCTATTACATAATGTTGCTAATGTTTATATAAGACTTAGTAATTTTTCGTACTGAAAAGTTAAGTTTCAGATCGTTATTGAATTTTCAGTTATGCAATGCAAAATTTCCCTTAGTGATTATTTTCTATAATTTCATCTCCTCAGGAAACTATTTTATTGATTTGGACTGCATTGTGCCAGCAAATTTGCTGCTTCCACGGGAAATTTTAACTAGTACATGATTAATCTCACCTTCTGATGAGATATGCTATCTGATTTTACTGGAGAAATGTTGAAGATTATCAAAAATTAAGGAACTTTCGCATTGCAATTCGAAATTCCTATTACTCCAGTGATTAAAAAGACAACAATAATAGCGAAGTGCTATGAATTGATATATCACGGTAAATATAAAGTTCTTTTCTTCTATCAGTTCCTTGTTTAATGAGTTCTAGGTTGTAATCAGACAATCTAGAAAGATGTGTAGAATGTATTAAAATAAGTTTTATCTAAAGCAGAGAAATCATTGGAGTTCAAAAAATCCACTAAGAATAGTCAAACAAAACTTGAAAATCTTTAGACTTTTTTAAGCTCTGAAAATCAGTCGTATAAACATTCTGGGTAAGGAATATTTCCTAAGCTGGATTTATGACTGTGCGGTGTTACCTTTATCTTTTCTTTCTTTATTAATGAAATGCTGAAGGAAGATCACAACTATTCTTTTGTATGTTATCAAAATGGAAATTGCAAAATAATTAAAAAATTTGAAACCGAAGTAATCTTAAAATAATTTTTACTTAAGGAAATAGTTGTGTTTCTAAGAAATCAGTGGGTGAAAACGATGGACGATGAAGAATATATGAAACCGATGTTACCAACTGTACCGGAAAAATGCGGACCACCGGTGATTCCGTTAGGACATCTGATTGAATTTGCCGTACAGCAAATTTTTCATGAACTTACTGTTCTCTCCGAACTGTAAGTTATCAAGTTTTCATTACACGTCAGGTAGCTTGATTAATTTAAGCTTGCGGAATAATTTTGTTTACAGGAATTTTCTGTCAGTTTCCAATAGTAATAGCTTACGGTTTTAAAAATTAATGTGTATTCAAATGAACCCAATGCTGTATAAGATGGCCAAAACTACATTTTCATACAAGCTGTGCACTTCTGCGAAAAGCCTCTTTACTGCTGATTGAGTGAAATAAATTTCTTTTTTTTTTTTTGAAACGGAGAAAGAACAGAGAATGTAATCACAGATATTTAACATTTCAGATTGCCAAAAAAGCTCGATTCTGATAGAAAAATTAGCATTGTACAATTTGCACATTCAACGCGTGTACTTTTTATCAAACTTCTCGCAGTAGTGAAATGGGTCAAATCGTCAAAGAAATTTGAATCGTGTGCTGTAAGTATTATTTTATTAATTAACGCATTTAATATGTAAATGTTTCGTAGAAAATTTTTCTATATAGACGTATTTTCTAGTCGATCTGCTACTTCCTGGACCAGCAATCACAGTATTTCGTGGATACAGCTGATCGTTTGGTGCAGCTAGCACGAGAGGAGCTTGTTTTTGCCAGGTTGATTTCATCTTAAAGAGATGAATTTGAAAATACTGAAGCATACTAAATTATTTTATGTAGCACGAGGGATATTGTTTTATGTCTTCTCAAATTTTTGTGCACATTGAACGTTTGGAAAATATTTATAAAATTGTGAAAGAAAAAAAAAATATTGATAAAAAAGTTGATATGTAAGTAAAAAGATGTGTTTAATATGAAAACGAAGGAATGTGGAAGCAAAAATTTTATGAAACATTTCAAAAAATCAAAACTACACTCATAGGAATTTATGCTGATGTTTCTTTTTATCAAGGTTGCCAATCTTCCAAGTGGCTTTAGCTGTTGATGTTCTCACAGTTGGGACATTTCCACGACTTCCATTGTGCATAAAGGTAATAATCCTATAATTTGTTATAGGACATTCAGTTCTTTTAAGCATAGTTTTTTGCTGTTTTGTGGAAGACAGAAGACATGTTTTGTTGAAATCAGTATTTAATCACAATCTAGTTCAACGATTTGTTATTTAAATTGCTGAGAAATAGCTTTTATGTCAAAATTACATCTTCCTCAAAAACATCTATTTGCAGAGTCGTTTTATCCCTGATCCACCAATAACATCACGGGAAGAAGCATGTGTCTTAGCTCGACTCAATCAAGTCATACAGTATCGCCTTTCAAGTTACGGGACGAAGCTTTCACCTCGTATATCAAAAACTGTGATTAGAAATGGAATGGTAAATTTTGATATTTATCCTGATTTTGGGAGTTGCAGCATAAGGCTATGTATGAAATGATTTTGTGATACAACTCAAAATCGTTTGCGTAGTCTTGCTATAACAAATGATATCACATTTTTTGTGAAAGTTTTGTTTGGGGTGAAAATTAACTGTGCTATTCAAAAAGTTCTCCAAAAGATTTTAAGAAATTTTATAGGTAACGATGACTGTTAATGGTGAATTTGAAGTGTCACTAACCTTATTGGGTGAGCGGCCAGCTACAAAATGGACTTTGCTGAACATCAAAATATTAGTCGAAGATTATGAAATTGGTTTTGGAACTAAATTGGTCCATCCATTACAAGTCAATATGCTCCATAATGTTTTGCAGTTAAGGATGGATAAAAGTTTAGAGGTTGGTATTTGTTGCGAGTTTGAAGGATTAAATCTAGCATTTCCATCAGTATCCATTTCTAGTGCATAATTGTGAATTTTTTTTTTAGTTTCTGTTAACAGACTTTAGCTTACAGGAGAACCAATTAAGTTGCAAACAATAATTCATAGATAATAATTATCCGGAAAAATCTTTGTAATGAGAAAATCTTACCAATCGGTTCGTATGGCAAAATTAATAGTAGCTGGAGCTTGAATACATGCGAAGTGATAGAATTTTGTTTGTGTAAAATCTCCACTGCATTCAGTTTTAAAGTTTTTTTTTTGGTCTTATTTATACAGCCTCTAAAGAAATTTAAATTGTTGACCCTAGGTCATATTTGTTGCGTGTTTTTTCTAGCCACTTGAAGAAGTATATAATTTGCTCCATTCATTCGCACAAATGTTACAACTGGATGTGTTGTTTTGTCAAGCAACCCAAGTGTTCAGTGGTGACATGTGTCAGTATGCTGCTATTGAACGGTATGATCGGAATATGGGCATTCTTACACTGGCATATTGGCTAAAAAGAACACATAATAGGTACTTGCTTATATTTTAAAATCTGCAAGTTCACGTTTTACTGCTTCCCTTCAGTGTAATAGATTGTCATGAGAGTATTTCGAGAAAAGCTATTCATTAAAATACTGTTTAAGTGCTTCACTAGTTTATTGTTTGTTGCTGCGTTGTTCTTGGGTTTTTGACAACTTTTCATTTTATTGAACAATTTCTACAATTCATTGCAATCCTGTTTATAAATTTTCAGGTACACTTCTCAATACAAGATTAAAATATTTATCGATAAAGAAAATCAACATAATGGTTTACGTGTGCGGCATTTTCCGGTAGGCAAAGGCTTGCCGTATATAGATGATCGCAGTGGGTGAGTTCTGATGAATCTGTAATTTAAGATTAATATGACGTTATCAGTTTGTGCTGTAAGATTATGATAATCTTTTATCAATTTTTTGCACAAAAACGAGTTTTTCAACCATGAATCGTTTATAGAAGGTTATCAATTAATCGTCTGCTATCCGAAACAGTTGGTGTTCGTTGCCGTGAACGACTTCTGCGTATCCGTGAGAGGCTTGGTTTGCTGAAACCACCAGTTATTGTATCACTTACCGGTAGAGCTGCTCCCACACTCACTTATCCATTATTAGGAGCCCAGTCACATGCTGACGAAATGCTCGTTGTATCAGTTAATGATTTTTCTGGAAATGTGATTGCAGTTGTGCGAGCATTAGGTAGACTTCTGAATTTCTTCGAAAGAGTATTTTCTAATGTTGTTCGAATATGAATTTTATATCCCGTGACATTTAAATAAGTAAAAGAGAGAATTCCAAGTCTTCATTTTTGGATTCTCTTGTAATTTTAGGATCATGCACAGAGCTTCGAGAGTTGGAACAGCTTATCGACGATCGTGTACCTTTGCAAACAATCACAGATAAGATGGAGAGGCTAAGGTATTTTATTGGACTCATATAACATGCCAGATTCAGGATTTTAAGATTTGTTGACTTGTTTGTTAAAGTGGAAAACACTGAACGTTTTACAGAATTTTATTAATGTTGGAACGGTATCGTAAAGCGGTTGCACCTCTCCCGGTCCGGATTGTTCCAGAAAACGTCTTTTGCGCTCGTCTATCAAGTTTGCCAGAACTTCCGCCTGATAGGATATGCCTTCAGTTTATCAAAGAGGAAATGTATTATCTTGTAAGCGTTTTGTTGCTCTTCAGGTGTAATTTATGCACTTATGATTCAATTATTGTTATTTCATTATCGAAGGAATATTTTACAGGACTAAAATATGAGAATTATTTATACTTTTAAAAAGCGCTGGACAATTGTGGAGATATTTATAATATCATGGCTGAATATAAAATATTGATAGACATTATAACAAAAACTCACCTATATATACTAACACGTTTAATTTTCGAAGATTGTAAATGTTTTAATTTTACCAGATAGTTTCGTTTACTCCTAACGGACAAATTGGAGTAAACATTGATATGTATTTATTGTCAAACGTTGAGCGAAAGCTGAATATGGTGCGATTGCATCCTTCTCAATTGCTGACAACATTACCGGAGTCAAGTTTCTTAAGTGGGAAAAGTGACGATGATTTGGAACCTCCCACGAAGGTATTGCCAATATTTACATGGGTTTTCTTGACTTGATCTTAGAAAATGAAAACTTTTTCTTTAATCATATAAACTCCCACAAGCTGTGTTTTAGCGGCGCCGTTGGTTAGGTGACAAAAGATTGCTAACATCAGCCGTAGCAACTTTGGATGATCGACTGGCATTTATGAGGATTTGTGAAGAACTCGAGCGCCGTAATGTGAAGTATAAGCCTCTTACTGTGGAACCAACAGTTGGTGGCCTAATTTTGCATATAACAGAGTAACTTTTTCTGTTTCTAAATTTTGGTTCATTTTTAGTTTTCGAAATTATGTTTAAATTAGGTTTTCTTTTTCAGCTTTTCTGAAGCCATACCCGCAGGATCCGATGATTTCTTTTCATCCGTGATTAACTGTTGCCTTCGACTGGATACAAGAACTCGAGTTATTTGGCCGTTTGAATGCACTTTGATTAATACGCCATTGGTTGCTGATTTCTATGAGCCCATTATGCATGTTGATTATGAGTCCGCAAAGGTTTCATGATTATCTCCACATTAGAAATCTTTTGATTGGAAAAAGTATCATACTGGAGAAACTTGTTAAGTAAAAAACCATAAACTCAAGTGTCGCTTATTAACTAATAAAATAAAAATGGCTGTTCAGACGAAAACGACGGTTCTGGAGATTCATGGTAGTGGAGGAGTTTCATCACCAAATACGTCGGAGAGTGTTTCAACTCACATGATTGATCGTTTAATCGTTTTTGCACATATGTTTGATCCAGTGAAGGAGTTTGCAGCTGCTTATTATAGTCACTATAATAAGTATTGTAATGTATGCTTTGTTTTTTTTATACAAATTTTAACGTTAGGAAGTGCATAACGTGAACACAAACTTTTCAATGAGAGATCTTTTTCATTTTTAGCTGTAACTAGTAGACGATATTAATGTATAACGAGGATCATTTGGTTCGCACAGTATTTACTCAATTGATTTTGATGTTTCATTTTTATAATTAAATGCTGATAGCCCATTGTATTATAGGTTGTTGCATTCACCTATCATAAACTTGTATTAGCATACGGTTCAAATCGCAATATGTTGATGATGCTTTCATGGAGAACGCAAAAAGCTCCAAACAATAAGCAGTATTTTTATCTTACATTTGGAATTGGACCAAGTCGTGCGACAACAACAGCTGATCTTAGCAATTCCGAAATGTATGATTTTTACATATTTTCTGTCATGAAGCTAATATAACTTTTATGTCTTCTCATTTCTTTCGTTTTCTTCTGCTCATAAAATATTTTTTCTTTTTTGTTCACTTATGATGAATATAAAAAGGAAAATTTTAACAAATTTTACTAATAACCTGTCTTTTAATTGCCTCAGTGTATTGGCATTATGTTTTGTGATTCTTTTAGTGACGCGATATCAAATAGTATTGTTTTCGTTGACTGTGATAAGTCAAGTTATAAATATTGGAATTTATTGTTCAGAAAATAATTGTAGATTGTGGAATCCACACATACTGTTAGCTTCTCGTCTTCAAGAACGATTCAATAAACAACGTTCCCTTATTGGTCTTGTACAATATTTAATTGATTCTGTTGCTCCGCTTTCCGCACTTCATTCATTCACTCGAATTCGACTTCAGTCACTGCGTGCATTTTGTCAGATGATGTGCTATGATGCTGCTTTAGCATTGAGTTTGCAAGTATGCATTTGTTAGTAAATTGGTTGGGAGCTTTCTTAATTTCTCGGTTTTTTTCCATTTCTATCGTCACATCGTGTTATGGATTAGATATGGTAGAGATATCAAAGCGTGGTAACTCTTCGACATTTCTGAAACTATATTACGCTTCTGTTATTTCCACTTTTTTAAACGATATTCAGGACTTATGTGTAAGATATATTTATGCTAACCCAAATTACGAAATGGAGAGGTTTAATTTCGTTATTAACTCAAGAAATAGTTGTTTTCTTCTAGGTCACATTATCAATAGTGGACGAATACAGAATTCGTTTGATTTATGGCCATGTGCATTTGGAATTCTTTTTATTGGGTAATTCGCGTATTGGTTTACGTGACTGTTCACTGGGTTCAGCATGTGCATTCCGTTTGCGCCAGTTCTGTAGTAATTTCTTGAGGTAAGCATTCCTTAATTGTTATAATTAAACATATTTTTATTTTTCTCTTGAATTTACATTCTTCAGTTATGTCTTTTCCAAGTCTCATTCTGCGGGAAAATTGTGGAGATTTATATTGATCCAAAGCGATCTACAGTGCAGTAAATATTATTACTTCATATGCTGCTATCAGTGCAAATCTTCTATGCTTTTTTTTAGTCCTGAACTGCGAAGCGCAAATGAAGAAAAGTCGCCTAGTGCCTTTGCCTGGACAGCTACCAGTTCTGGACCTGGGTCGCTACCATCTCATCAGGTAGTTCATGCTTTTTGTTGTTTAACAACCAGAATTTAAATTTTCGAGGTGTAGTGTTATGCACAACTTTAAATAGCATGAAACGAAGGAAGAGTAAAAGTATTTTCAAAATAATGGATTCCCGACCTGTGTTTTTTTTGTATTTATCTAATTAGTCGTGCAGTTTTCGCTTTCAGATGGTTCGCTCTCCGGCATCGAGAATTGTGTCATCACCAATGTCACATATGTCATTATCGGTTCCACCCTTAGATAGCTTTGGTTCTTCCTTACGATATTCGTCAGACTGTCGCTCGAGGACTCCAATTTTGCTGGACCATGATTCGCTGCATTGCATGACATCCGTTGATGAGTCTGGTGGGTTGCTTCGTATTTTTTGTTGAGTGCTACGTCATATGCCCTGGAATGTGCTTCATCACTAATTATGTGATGCTGTCAACGAATGTTACAGGGAGTTGTGCTCTTGATCAGTATTTGTTTGCATTAGCATACTTATCAAAATTGGGACCAGCCTTAGAAGGATATCGTCGAGAGCATCGTGGATCAGGTGCACATCCAGTCATCCAATTTCGACAATTAATTGCAACTGCAGAAAGTGTTCGATTATCAGTATTGGGTGCTGCACCACCGAATCTAAAACATGAACCATTCTTGGTTAATATGAATATCTATTTGGATGAAGAAACAATGAGTTTAAAAATGAAGTTGGATTTCGGCAAGTTTTTTTCAGCTGACTTATTCTATTATTCGATCAGTTTTTATTGTTGAGAAAAAATATACCATTTTTTATGTTATGTCAGTAAGATGCTCTGTTCTTTTATTTCCTAACAGTTTTTCTGTGCAATGGTAATTGCTTTTCAAAAATTAAAGATGTATTGAGATTAGGATATATAACTTTTATTCATGGTAATATATAGTATACAGAGCGGAAGAGATTTTTATGGAAAGATATACTCTCAAGTAATAATATTTTTTTAAGTAATTGTATAATTCAGAAAATTCAGAATTTTCAAGTTTTTAGATGGTGAAGATATTCCGGCTGATAATGATATCCGTACAGCGGAGCTTTACTTCGTGAGATTTGTTGCTCGATTGGGGAATGAAATTGCTGTAGTTGCATTCGCTAATGCCTGCAGGCTTGCTGCACCGGGTGCATTTTCGGCTATTACTCGTATAATGAGTGTACAAATGGTAAATTATTACATTTGTTTATGGCAATAACTAGCTTTTGCGATATGTGTTCAGAAAGTTTTCTTCCTCATCTTTTTTTTTGTATCACCTAAGAAATCAGGAATTCAAATTTGTGCATTTTATTCGTATATATATATATATATATATATATATATATATATGTATTAAATTTCGGAATATTTAGGATGTACCGGGATAGATGCGGTACTTATCATAACATATAGTATACTTAGACTTTTATGAAAAGATATACTCCGAAGCAATAATATTTTTTTAAGTAATAGCATTTCCTACATTTGAAAAATTAAAAAATTGTTTCTACTCAAATAGAATTGGACCGAAGATACTCCTTGGCGTCCATCAATCCAATTGGTGATGTGGAGCCAGGAAGGATCAGTCCCAAGAGCACGCATTTCACCTGGCATTGTTATTGACCAGACGAATATCAGTGTTCTCATTTTGGTAAGTTCCCTGAATTGAAGAACTTATTAGTTCTTTGAAAGATATGCGTTAGTTGTGTTAGACCTCGAAATGACATAAAATATATGAAGGTCATTAAAAAAATCATTTCTGTATATCATTTATTGTATCAATTTTTAAAACTTTTAGCTTTGTCTAAGACCAGCGCGTCATAATCCGTCAGAAAAAAATGCAGATGCATCGAAACATTTGATACCTCTCATTTACAACACTCAAACGTGAGATTTATGATACTTTTTCTGAAATAACTAGATTTTAAGTTTTAAAAGGTAATCAAAAAATGAAACTGACTTTATTTTCTATATTGAAGGAAATGACAAGTTAAAAAAGTTTCTTATTTTGCTAGTAACTTTAGTTCAAGTTATTTGTTTTGCAAATGAATTCACTGATATCAGTCGTTTCAATCCTTGTTATATCTTCGATTAGTGTCGAGCTTATCACTTAGTTGCTTTAGAAATACCGTAGCTCGACGTAGCAGCGGTGCAGATGATGATGCTAGCAATGCTACAACTGTATTGTCGAATATTTCCGAGCAGTACTCCCTGACAAATGAACCAGCTTTGTGGCCAGCTATCTATTCTCTTGCTCATAATTTTACTGTACAACGATAGCGAGAGCATTTTTGTGGTACCTCTTTCTCAGGTTTAAAAAGCGTCGAGTTTTTCCGGTTATTTCGTATATAGGATTTGCTTCTTTTATTGTGATGTTTCTTAGTATCAAGTGTCTTAAATGGATAGAACGATCCAGAACTGAGTTGGCGATTTCAGTTTTCCATAAATTGAGTAAAAAATTCTTGGGTTTATTAACACCAGTATGAACTTCTAGTATATTTTCTGACAAGTTTACGTATCTAGCGAAGATATGGTAATTACTACACTGTCTTTACAACAGCTTATTTATAATCACTGGTCTTTTCCTCTTCCATTTTTTTGGTTGATCACTAATTCTACCACAGGTTTTCTGGGAAGTTAGCTTAATTTTTAAATTTGGAGAGCCGTTAATCAGGTGAAATCTTTGAAGACAAAAAAATGTCTTCAAATGTTTTGAACATTTCCATTTTCAAAGTTTTGCAGTTGTTTGTGAATGGTTTTTGAAAAACTAGTATTAATGTACATGAAGAAAGTCACTTTTTTAATAAATGCTGAGGTTTCATTATTACTGGTAGAAGAGAAAAACATAGAAATAATCAGTCATAATTTTCGACGACTAATTGCAGTGCATTTTTAGTGATAGTAATTATGAAAAAAAAAAAAAAAAAAACCGAATAAATGAAAATAGTGAGATTTGGTAGTTTTTCAAATAATGGATAATTAATAATGATCTCAAGTTCATGTTTGGTTTACTATTTTCACTTATTCATTTTGTGCATCGTTTTGGAATTTTCGTATTTCATGAATTTGTTTATTATACGTTTGAATTTCTTGTTACTTTTTGATGTTTTTTGCAGGATTACTTCAACTTGTATTTTTGAAAAATGCATTTTTTAAAGCCTTTTTTGACTGCATAAAAAGACTGTTTCATATATCTTCGTAACTTCATCTTTTATTTCGTTGTTTAATCCTTTATTTCAGGATATATTATTTCATACTTTTAGCTTTTGTTTGTATATTTATCAATGAAATCATTCCCTACTACATACAACATATTAAGAGCATCTATCGTTTCGCAGAAGTCTCATTCTTTAACCTTCACTATTTTGTTACTTTCGTTATAAATGTGATTGTTTACAATAATGGTCTATTTAAAGAAAAGAGACAGTTGCAATATCATGAATAAATCTAATATTAAATGCTATTAATAACTTATGTTATTATTAAATTAAATATACTTCATGAAAGTGGACTGTTAAAACTGTGAAAGTATTGATTGACTGATGGGATTTTTTGAGCGAATGTTGATTCAGAAATGGAAATTGATCAGCATGGTGCATTTCATCATTGTACTCTAGATATGGGAAGAGGGATCATTGCATCTCTCCCTCTCATATATTCCTACTTTATTCCACCTGGTTACACATTCCTTTCCAATTTCATTGTTTTGTATAGTATTTACTTACAAAGATTGATTTTTAGGAGCCTGAAATAATTAGGTATTCAAATCAGTTCGACACTCTCCACTCAACTTTGTTGCTTATTTGTTATTAGATTTTTGCTGTGTCGGAATAATGTATGTGTAATAACTTTGAGTTTATGGTTGCTAAATGTATTTTAGATTTATTAACAAAAGGTAACTTCATAATACAATGGGTGCGGCGACGTCTGGACTTCAATCACAAATGCAGCAAGAGCATGATCCAAATGCTGCTTTCCCATGGTGGGTGCGTTTCCTAGCAAAAGGACTTGGAGTACTTGGTGGTTTTGTGGCTATTTTCTTTGCCGTACTTGGCTTAGTTTCATTGTCTGCAACCTGTATCATTGCTGTTCTATTACAACTGTTAGTTACTTTTATTTAGTTACACTTTCATTCAATAATTATTATATTACAGAAGCTATTAATAGATTTTAATTGTTATAAGGTTAATTTTCTATATGACTTACCAAAAGTCTTACACTGGTCTTAATCCTTTTAAGAATTAACCTTTGTTTAATCACGAAATAATTCATGGAGTTTATTTTAAAATTCATAAATGCCTATCAGAGATGTCGTTTTAACATTTCAGTGTCACTTTAAATACTAGTAGATTTCTATAGCTGTTCGTATGTTGCAGAGCGTTTGGTATACTGACGGTAGCATTAGAGGCTCCGTTTTGTTGCATGTTTATCGATTTCATTGAAAAAATTGCCATGTTTTCGGAATCACGAAAATATTGGCAGAAAGGGGCTCTTTACTGTATGTAAGTTTTTAATAAGTTTAATGCATGTTAATTGTCATCTGTTTCAAAGATTCTAAGCGAAAAAGACTATTAATACACGTAGAATGGTTCTTCTCAATACTAACACAAATGGATAATTATTACCTAACATCTTTACAACACCGCTGTTTATTAAAGTACTTTTTTTGAATTTTTTTTGAAAAGAACATTTTTCGATGTTTGTTTTTTTCCTAAAACTATGTACAACTAAAATTTTATAGCATGGGCGTGCTACCAATATTGTTGTGCACTGAGCTAAATACGGTACTTGGTAGTGGAATGATTTTTGCATCGGGCACTGTATATGGTTTCTTGGCACTGGGCAAAAAAGCAGACTTATCATCGATGGGCGGTACCACAGATCCAGCGTGGAATGCTAATGTTAACCAACAACAGACACCGGCATCCTTTGGAAATCCATCTATGGCTTAATTTGATGTGTATTTGGAAAATGATCTCAATTTTTTTATTACATTCAGTAATTTTTTTTTCTGAAGGGACATGACGCTTATCTTCCTGTTTTTCTGATCTAAATTTATAGAAGTAAAAAGTATTAAAATATGTACTAACTGGAAGTTCCACTTTCTTGTAGGTTGTTGGAATTTTGGAAGGAATTCAAGATACAGAAATTATGATTCAGCAAACGTAGTTTAATTTGCATGTTGATCATAATAGTGCGTGATATGATTGGTTGTAATTCCTATTTTTGAACTGCTGGCGTTTTGTGCAATTCTTTCCTTCCGTTATTTTTGTGGCAACACTAGGATGATTCTTCACCTTCTACATATCTTCTCTTCGCTAGGCTCCTTTTCACCCAGCTTGGGTCTTTTCCTTTGACACCAAATCATATTTTTCAGATTCCTTATATGCTATGTCCTAGAAAAGTTCCATTTTGGCATTAAATTATGTTAAGAGTTGCATACTTTTTTGAGCTGCTTCTTCGCCTACTTTGTTTTAATTATTTTGTCTCTTCATTCCAGCGACTGACTAATAAGACGGTCTTTTAAGAATACTAAAACTTGGCGTAATGACTCTATGAGAATTCTCAAAAAGTTCTTTTTTTATTTTATGTGATTAATGATTGTTCTTCATTCCATATGAAATCAGACAGTAAAAAGGCTTGGGTATCACTTTATAAAATTCTTAGTATCCAGGGTTTCTACACCCTAATTTCTAAATGGAATCGTTCTCTAAATCTCAAATTCCTAGGTATCTGTGATTTCTTTTAAAATTATTCTAGGTACTTCAAGAAATTTTAGCTGTGATGTTACTGGAGCATCCGGTATTTTGTACTAGTTTGCCAGCTCATTGCTTCTCAATATTTCCTATTGACCAGTACGTATTTTTAATTATTTGCTGTATTGCTTTTTTTAATGGCTGTCAAATTTTTTATTTAAAGTCTCTTTTGCTTGCATGTTTGATATATCTACCAAGAAAGTAATTTATTCAGACTAATTTTACTCATGTAAAAAAAAAAAAAAAAATAATGCTTTCTGTATGAGAAAGAGGAAGAAGGACATCCATTACTGACAAAAACCTGAGTCGTTTTTTAATGATACGGATGTCCTCATTTGTACATCATTTCGCTGTCCTATATCTTCCCGAGCGCTACACATTTCAAAATGTAAAAGGAATATATAGTGAATGAGGAAGTATATAGCAGTAATGTAAACGAAAGTATTTATTTGAAGAAGTTGCTGGAACAACACATAGGTGAGGATATATACATCTTAGTGAAAAGTTAAGTACAGTTAATGCCGAAAGAGGTTTTAATATCTTTCTGGGTGTGGAATATGATCTAAAAGTAAACGTGACAAAAACAATGCCGGAAAATATCTTCAGAGCAAGGATGAAATGTTGGTTGGCCATTTTTTAGTAATGCTATATCCAATAACTAAACACACTTGGACAAGATGATTACAGTCTCAAAAAGAAAAAAACCTCCGTAACATCAGCAGTGTAAGATATACACAATGTAGAATTTATATAAAGTACCGGATTATATCTTAAAAAGACAAGGTATCTGTGCCCTATGAACCAGAAAGCATTCACCAAAGAGATTTCAAAGTTTTCATTTTCATTGTAAGCAAAACGAAACGTGAAATAGGACTACCAATTTTTACCAATTCATTTGCCGTTATTCCAGCCATTTGAAGCGACTCGTGAAGAATTTGAAACTTCTGGAAATATTTTTTGAACATGAGTAAAAAACATAAATTGTATAACATCGGCTAAGTGGGAGTGCAGATCAGAAAAACTTTAAGGTGATACTGACTGGGTGGGATTTAGGATGGTGAATTTGAGAAATCAATCTTTAGCTTCTTTCTAATCTAAGATCTTCACTTTTACGAATTGCTAATTTACGTGTCGAACAGTTTAAATTCCAATGCCTTTTCATTTTTCAGTTTAGGATTTGTCGAAAGAAATGTATGATACAACTGATAACAAAAATGATAAAACATGCCGTTTCTGGAGTGTCTTCTCGGTAAATAACGTAATCATTAACATTTAAACAATTCACAGCTTCATCATGCTTCACTGTGAAAGTTTTGTAGCGGAAGGTTGCTTCACGTTCCATTCGCTAGAAAAAAACAGTTGTTGTCAACAAAAATAATAGTGCATTTGAACTGTATACCGTTGAACTGAGTAAATACGTTTTTGCATAACCGAGTCCTCTGCATATTTAAAGAATAAAATAATTTGAAAAGATACTTGTATAACTTGTTTCGCTTCTTTAGAACTGCCTACTGCAAGGACATCTGCTGAAATGAGTGAAACGTAGTGTCTTAAAGGCTGATTTCCGGGAAGTGTAATTGGTATTACAGCTAAGTCAGAAAATGTTCGTGCAACAATCTAAAAATAAACATTAGCTAAAAATTTTTTTCATAATGATATCTGTAAATGATAGCTGTTGTATAAAATGAATTACTGTTCTACAAATAATAAAAATTAAATTACCAATGCACCTTCCATGTTGGTACCATTCTTTCGTATACCAACAAAGACCTCTTTACCAGTGTATAGCACATCACTGCCCTCGAGCACAATTTCTTTATTATGTTCGGAAGCTTGTGGTGTTTCTACAACCTGCCAGGCAAGTTGATTAAGCAAGTTGCTAATCTACAAACAATAACTTGTCAATAACGATATGAACTCAGTATTTTGTCATTAATATCCAATCTGACCTTCTATTATTGAATACTATTTTTGCTATCTGCTGTTTACATATTTCATACAGAAATATAAGCAAAATGATTCATGCAAGTGCTGGGAAGAACATTTTGTTTTGAAACTGTAAAAAAACAAAGAAATATATATATATACCTCAAGTAAGCGATTTCCATTTTTCCTTGGACGAGTGATCAAGGCAGTACCATTGATACAAATGGCAGCATCGCCAGTAAACAAACTTTGCTGAATACAACGCTCTTCAGCTGAAAGTTCAATGATATCAACACCAGCCTGAAAAAGAAATTAGTAAATTCACATAAATATTGCATTAAAAAGTTAAGTCTGCATTAGAAGCATTCTGCAAAAGACCATCTTAGAGAAAAGTTACACCACTTTTACAAGTACAAAAGTTTCATCAAAGTGATAGCTATAAGACTTAGATACAAACTTCTCTAAGCGTCTCGCAAAGCTCCTCCATTTGCTTCGCAGCTAAATCCAAATCAATTCTTATTCTCTTTTCCATTTTTACTTTGCTTGGGATGCGAACAACGATAGCATGTGTGTACCGCATATCGATACTGTAACTACAGAATTTAAAATCTCAAAATGCCTTTTTTTTTTTTGAAAATTATAGGACTGACTAATAACAAATCGACCGGAAAACTACATTCATGTCATTTCGATGTTATTCCAGTACTTTTTTAACCTAATATTTTTGAGCGTCTAAACTCTCTCCTAAATCCTAACTAACTCTTGGGTACCGAATCCCACTTCTGATTGATTGTTTCGGCGAGTTCTCCAATTATAAAAAACAGACTCTTTAAACTATTCACAAAGTAATTCTAAACACTGTCCCTCTTATTTGTCACTTTTTTCTTCTTTTGCATTTAAAATTAAGCAAAGAAATTTCACCCTATATTATTTACCAATAGAATTGCTCAGCTATTTATCGATGAAGGGCAGCACTCTTATTAATCTAAATTGCACCTCATACTCTTTCTTTCCTCTTTCTCTCTCTCTCTCTCTTTCCCAACAACGTAGTACAGAATAAAGAACATTTCTGACTTTACCATTTCAACTATATCGTTACTTCAAAAAATTTTTAAGAGTTTCAAAGCACAAAATGACATTGTACGGATTCGTTTATCCTTTAAAAAAATTGATGAAATCTGCGATATAACAAATCCATTTATTCACAACAACAATACCAAACAGAATAGTTTAATAGATTTTACCCAACGATAAAATTCACAGTGCAGCCAATATATTTTTGCAAAAATCAAAAAAAAAACATTCAAGAAAAAAAGAATAGTAAGCATATAATTCTCGATAAGAAACATTTACCTAAGCATAACAACGTCATCTTCATCATCATCATCAATAATTAATGGCCTCTTGCGTGAAAATTTTACTGTTTTCCCACTGCAAATCAATTTTGAAGGAATGGAGAAGGTAATTCGGTGATCAGATCTGTTCTCCATTGCAATGCTCTTTTCGTCTGGTACAACATAGCTAATGATTGAATATGGTGTGAAATGGAAATCTTCCTGAAAAGCGATAATTCCAAAGAAAAAAGAAAACGAATAAACCACTGCCCGTAGTCCTAACATTTTGCAACAACCCATTTTTCGTCAATTTTCCAGATCCATCAGCTTTTTCTAAGAGGTTTTTTTCTACGGTATTTTTCTAAAATGACTATCCAGTAAATAGGTCTTTTTTCTTCTTTTTCATTGTATACATCGCAAGTATCATTCCCACAATTAATCCAGTTATTCTTTTTTGTCATATACTATTTTCACCATTTATTCGACATTAGAAAGAGATTAAAAATTTTCGAAAATACGGTCGAGATTGCTAACATCATTTTGGTAAACAAATTACTAGATATTTGGCTTATTTCTAGAAATAAAGCTATATTTGTAAGGGATAATGATAACTGACTAAGACTATTGCTAATTACTACTTTAATATTCTTATCTCAACTTTTTTCAACATCTGTTTCTACAAAAGACTTTATAAAATCAATAATTTTATCATATAATAAAGTTTTCTTAGTATGCAAAAGACGCCAATTTTTTGAAGCAAAATTTCAGTTATAAAAAAATTGCTAAATATAAACGCTGAACGGAACTCACTTTAAGATATCCATCAAGGATCAATTTTGCAACCAAAAGTTCGATCAGTTCTCTACTTACCGAGCTAACTTTCTTCCAAGTTAACTCTACTAGCTTCATGCCCGTTATACGATTATTATCAGTTTT